GGCTCCTTATGGTAACTGCAGTTTCTGAAGTGCCGGAGCGGCGTTCTGGTGCTCTCCGTCAGAACTGCACCCGTCAGTCGAGACATATACCACGTGATGACACGCTGGGCTCGTGTTGTGTTCAAGGATCCCGACCTTGGCCAGGAAAAACAGGCACTCGCTTGTTTAATTTTTTTGCGGTCTAGATTTCTTACATTTTTTTCTTTTTTGCTTGTTTTTATAAATTACCTCGAGGGCCGTACCAAATGGTCTCGCGGGCCTTATACGGCCCGGAGGCCGGAGGTTCCCCACCCCTGCCCTACAAGGACCCCCAACACAAACAGCTCCTAGTGCAAACAACAATCACTCCAACAAGGGAGTTGTTCATCTTTGGTCTGTCATTTGTACTATATTGTAACATCTTAGTACATTTCCATTTTATGTCCAGCTATGGAAATTAAATTGCAGAGCACATCCCGATCAAACCTAGGTTAACCCTGTTACCCCCAAGTGTACAGTTTTGGGATCAACTCTGTCGGTTGTTTTGCCCCTATATTGAAAAGTACCTCACCTACAAACATTATGACAGTATATATAATATCGTTTTTTTCTCTTGTGTATGATTTTATTATCTGTGCACTGCGCATGAACCTATATGGAGCACGTGTGTACGTATGGCTCAAATCACAAGATTTTCCAATTTCAAGGACCAGAAGTCATCATAGTCATTCACAGATCAGAGGACTCCTGTTAGCCATACATGTTGGTCACAGTGACCACATGGAGAACAAATGACATGCATGAAATTATCACATTCTTCAACAACAGCAAAAAGTGGCTGATGGCCATTCACAAAGCAGGTGACTATTCAGTTTTGTAAATGACCTAAGTAAGTGTATCATAAAAATAAAGTTGTTTTTTTTTACACACATACCTACATTAATATCCAAGTCTGGCAGGGGAGATGGCATATGATGAGTCCTGGTTGGTCAGGGCTACTCTTAACTGTGAAGCTCGCTTAAAATGTTTTTATCGTTACCCTAATGCTGTCCAAAACACAACATGTGGTCTTCGTTCTGCGATGTATGGCCATCATTGACGAAGAGCTCAGTGTGCTGCAGTCTGGTTATGGAAACTGATTCATCCATAGCCTATATTTAATTACATTTTAATGTATGCCACTTACCACCCTGACAAAAAGCTCCCTGTTGCTTGCTTTGACCTCCTACATCAAGTTAACAGGTTAATTATAATACATTCATGTGAAAACTTGAAAAAGCATGTGTTTCAAGGGTTTTTGAGCAGAGCAAATACATGTTTGAATATTTTGTAATGCTCAATGTTTTATTATTGCAAACCATGAAGTTTCTCAATGATTAATAACTAGTGCTCAATGAAAAGAGAAATAATATATAACCTTTGAATGTGGTGATCGGGTGAAATCCCTGGCCTCGGTTAGTGTGACCTGAATATATGGGGCCAAATCGAAAAAAGGGACAACAATTATTGATTTTTTTAGTGATCAATAATATTCTTGAATTGGCTCACTTTAGCAGCCAAAGAGTAAATACAACCATGTATTTCTTGCTTTTGATGCCAGAATCATACCCTGAGAGCAGTGGCGGCGCCAGAGATTTTCTCTAGGGGGTGCTGTGGGGTAGCTTGACGTTTCATAGAGGGTGCTTAAACATGTAGGGTTTCCCATTAATGCACCAGCGCTACAGTTGAATTCTCTACTGCAACACTCCCCACGCACACACACACAGTGCACCCGCGACTGTTACAATGAAGGCTCGATAATCAGCTCACGGCATATAGGCAGGGGTAAAGTGCTATTTTTACAAGTGGGGAGCGGACCTCACCTCCTCTAGGAGGGTCCTCACCTCCTCTAGGGGGTCCGGGGCTAGCTCCCCCGGGAAGATTTTTTGTTAAATATTGAAGTTAAAAGCATCAATCTGGTGCACTTTGAGAGCAACATTAAGAGATCTATGGATACATCTCTCATCACCCATATGAAACAGAACTGTAAACAGATTTTCTATTTCTTTATAGACATTTTACAAATCACTCCCCTTTTAAATCAAACCGTTTGAGACCCACTGAGATAACTAGACTAAAGTTAACTATCTAAACACTGAGAGAGTCCTTTACTTCACCTGAGTTGAGGTTACCTGAGACTCTCCGTCTGACAGGAGAGAGTTCTCTCTCCACCTTGTTGTTGAAAAAGCTCCTTATATCCATTAGCTTGGCTAGCTAGCACCAGATGCTAACCACAACGATCTCCGGTAGATACCCACTGGTGCGCGAGGCGAGCTCTCTCGCGCACGCACGCACACAAAATGGCTCGTGCCACACACACACACACACAGAGCAGGGCTTGAATGAAACACAGAGACCCAGAAGTAAGCTACTTGTACTCACGAGGCCTATTATGTGCAGAATCCCTCTCGCTTTCAGTTGGTTTTGATTGAGTGTCCACACGTGGACGTTTAAGGACTAACAAACGATCAATCCATTTTTCACTTTGCTGTTAGCAAATCATTTGGCGCTCTAGCTAACAGGAAGTCACTCAAGTGTCACAAAGTAATTTAGCCTATGGGTAGGTCAAAAATCGAATGGGTGCTGGCCATTGGCCTAATCATATCACCTGTGTTGGCTTTATGTTTTTGGTCAAAAATGTGTTTGTTTCACATATGCATTGATGTAATCAATAATATTTCTAATTTAATTTAATGAAAATAATAATATTTTTTTTTTTTAAAAACACATATTTATTGGGGGTGCTTAGGGGGTGCTTTGGCAATCCTGGGGGGTGCTTCAGCACCCCCTAGCTCCCCCCTGGCGCCGCCCCTGCCTGAGAGAACAAAACTAAAGAAGTGAGAGCATGGCTGAGAGATGAAGAGAGGTTTATAAATCTATTTATGCAGATACTATTGTTTCTTCCAAACCAAAAGAAAAGTAAAAGTAATGTTGCGAAAGAAAGGAGATCTGTGTGATCAAACAAAATTATTTTACAAGGGATGCATCCATCTCAATGCAAGACACAGGAAAACCGACCCGTAATGACATTTCAAGATGTTATTGTTTTTTCTTTCCTATAGGCAGAGGTATACATAATAAATCAATACTAGTTGCATACAGCCCACCTGGACAAAACAACAAACTAATTCAAAGGATTCAAAGCTTCTTAGGCTTTGCAGGTGGTGAGTCCGTAGCCCAGACGAGACCATTCATTGATCATCTCCATGAAGCCTGGTGAGGCTCACTGCACACACACAAAACAAATGGATGTAAATTAGATCATCGAACACTCGTGCTTAACACTCAGTGGTATTTATGCAATCATTATGTATCTGAAGATAGATATTAATAAAGCAGAGCATTCTTATACATTATGATAATTACTCTTCCAAGAATCTTAAATCTATCAACCCTTAGATGCACGAGTGACTGGACCCTACACTCTTCCATAAGAGGGTCAAAATTTACCCGTATTAGAATGGTTTTTTTTGGTCACACTTGTTTAATAATTAGTATTATATTTTGGTTCACACAAGAAATATTTAATATTGAATTTTTCACTATTTATAATTTTAAACGTTTTTTTACATTTAAAAAAAAAACATTTGAACATATTGATAATTGAAAAGCACTCACTCACACACACCACACACACACACACCACACACACACACACACACACACACACACACACACACACACACACACACACACACACACACACACACACACACACCAATATCAATTTGATGACATCAAATATTTTCTGAGGTACAAAATTAAGATAATCAGACCGATAAGACCGATCTCACTCATCAGTACTCGGCCCCTCCTCTTCATCATCTACATCCTCCTCTCAGTCCCCCCCCCCCCCCCCCATCAATCCATGCCGGTTGATCAAGTTTGATAGTCCTATACTCCCCACCCTAACCTTCCATTATATCGTAAAGCGATTTTGAGTCCTTGAAAAGCCCTTTAAAAATATAATGTATTATTATTATTATACTGACAGGTAGGGATTTGGGCCCCATGAAATATATCACATTGGTTACTTTCAATGACACATGAAAATAAACATTTGGAAGCTTGTCACAATTCTGTTGCATTTGCCCCTGAAATTAGACTTTATAAAATGTTAAATGTCAGACTCATCATGAGTTAAGGTCCTTGTAATTGATTTGTTCATGGGTATGACTTATGTGTCTTGTGGTGATTATGTGACAGAACAGCCCTGATTGTCTTTAATTCCACAATGCCTCTCATTTAAAATCCTGCAAACCCTTGAGCAGTATCGCAATTCCACAAAATACACATTTTTATGCCTGGGGAATTTAGTGACAGTTGCTCTATATGAGAATGAAATAAAATTAAAGATAAATAAATACAAACTATTTATATACAGAGAAGTAAAATAAGTTAATGTAAAATGTCCAATAATCACATTTTTATAAATGAAACATGCCCCTGACATAACATTTTACCAACATTTGTGAAGAAAGTTTAGAAGTCAGCTTTCCTTTATTAGTAAGTAATACTTTTTAAGATTAAGGGCCGATTTCATCAATCTGGACACAATGTCCTGATTAGTCTTAATATTGTTAAACCTTAGTACGAACACTTTTGCTTGGAGCTACTTAGTCAGAAAGTAGAGGTGTTGATGTTACATGTTATTAAATGCAATCTTGAAGATGAGACAGCCACAACATGTCATGTTTCAGAGCAACCACAATCAAAAAGGATTTACATGTGGCTCCATGGCTAAGGGGAAAGGAGTATTGTGTATAAATGTACTGTATGTATCAGGAAAGAAGAAATATATTTTTCTGAAACTTTTCGAATCTCTTAACACAGATATAAAGACGTGAAAAAGTTGATTTTGCATAATAGGTGACCTTTAAGACAATGGTCACAAGACACAAAGTATAGGCCATTAACAAAATCAATTTCAAGGGTCCTTTGCTTGACAAGCCTGATTTTTAGTATAAATTAGCTGGCAAGTAGACCAGTCAGCATCCAGCTCTCTCAGAAACACCACTGCTCTCCAGGAGGAAGAAACCTGCTCCGTATCAACATGAAGACTCTGCTGCTGGCCTCTGCTCTCTTTGCAGGACTCTTTGTCTCTCTGGCTGCCGTCCCTGTTCCTATTCCTGCTCCTTATCATGCCTTCTGCAAAACAATGTGGTGAGTTGGGATGCTGATCTGGTTCTGAGATGTTACATGTGTTGTGTGTGTTTCATCATGAGCTGAGACAATATTTTGGTGTCAGGAAAGTAAAAAAACAGAAACTGGATAAAAAGTTGCAACATGTTACTCTGAATTGTTGTTGTTTTTTTGCTCCAGGCTCTTTGCAGGACCTTGTACTGATATCAAGACCATGTTAGTCACACAGATTCTAGCCTCCAGCCTGAGTATACGGTAAGAGCCGCTGTGCTGTTGATGATGTTTTAGAGCAGGGGTGTCCAAACCGCGGCCCGGGGGCCAAATGCGGCCCGCAGGCCATTTTGAATCGGCCCTCAGCTAATTAAAAAGTGTAATGACATATGGCCCACAATGAGCATTAGTAGTAGTAGTAGTAGAACCTTTATTTATCCAGGAAAATCAATTAAGAACAAATTCTTATTTACAATGCATTGTTCTTGTTTTATATTGTACTTCTTAAATATACATGTAAACATGTATTATACAGTATTCATGTGTTAATACAACAAATAACATTTTCTATCAAATCTAAGTTGATGAGAAAAAGCCCAATAACTTATTTACATAACAAGCTTGAAATAGACGCTTCCTATTTCCTCTTATTATAAGCAATCTGAGGCTTCCATTTTAACGAATGAACTGAATGTATCAAACCGTATGGAGATCTGTGATTTAAGCTGTTTTTTCAAGTATCAAGCATGAATTACCTACATTTGATTGATTTTGCTAACTTACAACTTAACTGATAAGGCAATATACCTCTAGTGAGCGGCCCAGCCCTTCTTATATTTTTCTGTATGTGGCCCTTGGAGAAAAGGGTTTGGACCCCCCATTTTTAGACGGTTAAGACAAAATAACAGACACCAATTCTATTATCTTCATGTATTTAATAATGTTTAGTGTAATGCTATGTTTCTGTTTCAGCTTGTGTCAGTCTTCCCTGGTTTTGTCAAAGCCAACCACACGTCCCCGAAGACCCCCGAAGGAGAGACCATCATCATCTCATTTTACCCCACCATAGTGACTGGAGGCTGTCGCATGAGTGTAAGTATCAATGATGCTCAATATTATAGCGTTAAAACAAATGCAATAAATGGTTCACTGTAAAATTGTGACTTTTTTTTTTTCATTTAACAAAACGATTTGCTTGGTGTGTATTATCTGCCCAAAAAATAACTTTCTTGTTGTCTCCTGGGAGATAAACATTGGGATTATTACCTCTGCAGCCCATTTACATGCACAAAAACCTATATAACTCACCACAGGAAAGGGAAAACTCCCAAAAGCATAATAAGGCCTCTGTAACCGATGATCTGCTGATCTACTGTATTTGAGAAACAGAAATTCACAAGAAAATAATAATTTGAGTAGAATTGTACTCACAAACTGTCAACAAACTATTATTATTGAAGGGTTAATCTATATTTGAAACCAAAACTAAGGCCATCAGTCACTGTGAGTAACTTTCGGACAAATCTATGTTGTGTATTTCCTTACTCACCAGGCACTGTCCAAATCTAATGGATTCACCAGTCTTTTCGATGGTGAACAGAACTACTGCAACCTCTACAATCTGGTGTCAGGTGAGTTCAGGATCACTCCTCAACATGAACTGTCTCCCCCATGCATCCTTTTCTCTTTGATTCTTTTAAAGCTTGACACCATTCAGGATGATACATTGTCATGCTTGCACTTTTTAAAATGTATATCTGTTTAATGAATGTCATTGAGTATAATGAATGTAATTAATTTGTGTTTGTTTGTGTCTTGTAGCGAGCGGCCTCATGAAAGAACCAGGCTTCATGCAGATAATCAATGAATGGGCTTGCATGAGCTACAGACTTGCCACCTGTAGCTAAGCTTGCTTCACCAAATCATGTTGGGATTTGATATATTTGATTTGGAAATGGTTTTTTTTCACCTTACTTATGCATGCACCCTTAAGAAAAAAGACCAATAAAATATATTGCAACTGATTTTGCTTCTTACTCCTTTTTTATTTTCAGAACAAGTATAGGAATCTGTTATTTGTCCCACAGTTAGGAAATGTGCATTATTACATGAAATTACCAGTGCAAATAAAAGTAATAGATAAGATGAGTACGCTAACATTTTGAATAGAGAGAAAAACAGGTAAATAAAATAACATAAAATAAGAACATACACTGAACAAAAATATAAACGCAACACTTTTGTTTTTGTTCCCATTTTTTATGAGATGAACTCAAAGATCTAAAACATTTTCTATATACACAAAATAACCATTTCTCTCAAATCTTGTTCACAAATCTGAAAAAATCTGTGATAGTGAGCACTTCTCCTTTGCCGAGATAATCCATCCCACCTCACAGGTGTGGCATATCAAGATGCTGATTAGACAGCATGATTATTGCACAGGTGTGCCTTAGAATGGCCACAATAAAAGGCCACTCTGAAACGTGCATTTTTGCTTTATTGGGGGGGTCCGAAAACCAGGCAGTATCTGGTGTGAGGGGTAGGGTTAGGGTAATGTTGTGAATCGAGTGGCCTGTGTTCGTCGTCCATTACATACGCCTGCCCATACCCCACCACCACCATGGGCCACTCGATGGATCCTCACAATCCTTCATCAGTTTATCAGGGGAGTAGAGATACTGTCAGACATTGTGAAGGAAATTATTTACAGAAATCTCCTGTATAATTTAAACGTTAGTCCCTGCACAACACTGTATTTCCCTGTGTGATGGTGAACATCTCTTTCTCTCTCCCCTGACTTCTAGTTTAGGGAATATTGTTTGCCTCCAGTGCATTAGGTCCAGCGTTTTTGTGCAAAGAGCTTTTTAATAATCATAGTTAATCATACCCTGGTTTGAATATGCCAAGCAGTACACATTTCATTGGTCACTATAATTTCATGTGAGATAAGATCACAACAAACTATTCATATTCTCGTTTTGGCTGTCTTTACCGGGTCACAGAGTGAAACAAAATTGAATATTCTGGCAGATACAAACCAGGCTAGGATCTATCTGTGATTTCTTAACAGTTTTTGGGAGAAGAAAAAACGTTGGCCTCTCGCTCGAGGGAAAAATCATATCATGAGAGCAATTGAATAAAACCTTAAGAGGTAGAAGGCAAGGGAGACAGGACTGCGCACTCTCCAGTTTTTTCCTCAAACCCAAAAGAAAAGCAAAAAGATTTTCTTAGAGAAAAGTGACTTATAGATAAAACTATTTTTTGTTCAAGGTGTGGCTCCCATGTTCAGTTGCAAAAAAGAAACGAAGCATAATGAAATGGTAACATTTTATTGTTTTACCCTACAGTCAGAGGTATGTATAATATATAAAATAATAGTTATATACTTGGGCAAAACAACATTTACAAATTCAAAGGACTCTCAGTTGGTTCGGCTTCACAGGTGGCGAGTTTGTAGCCCTTGCAATTCCATTCAGTGGTTATCTCCATGAAGCCCGGTTCTAACGGGAGGCCGCTCGCTGCAAAAAAATAAAATAGACCAAATTAGATCATTCTAATCAATAATGTCTTTAAATGTTAGATTAAAAAAGTTGAATTATACCAATATATACATTTGTGAAAGCATGCATGGGGGAGAGTCTTCATGTTGATAAGTGATCCTGAACTCACCTGACAGCAGGTTGTGGAGGTTGCAGAAGTTCTGTCCATCATCAAGAAGACCGGAGAGTCCAATAGAAGTGGACTGTGCCTGGTAAGTAAGCAAATAAGATGGTTACATTTACATTGAGGTTTACAACTATCATGACTTTGTCAGTGTTTTTTGACACATTAACAACAAATAAACAATACCTTGTCAAAAGATTTTGTCTATTTTCCACATAAATGATTTTCTTCTGTCAACCGATTTCTTTGTCTTTTTCAAATTTTTCTGTAGCTTACGGAGCCCCCGTACGTCCCTCTGAGCTGAGTTATTGACAGATTCGAATCTCGCAAAGTCTTTGCGATATCTCGCAAAGGTTTGTGCGAGATCTCGCAAAACATTTTATTTTTTTTTCAAATGTTTTTTGTCTTCTCCATGTCCCCTAGGGGGCTCCGTAGTAGCTCATCAATTAAAATGCATGCATAAAAAGAAGCTGGGGTTCTTTAATTATGAGCGCACAAAGTGAAATATCACCTTCTATAACAAGCATGTGAAGCCTGCAGTTACAATGAACAAAAATATAAACGCAACACTTTTGTTTTTGCTCCCATTTTTCATGAGATGAACTCAAAGATCTAAAACATTTTCTATATACACAAAATAACCATTTCTCTCAAATATTGTTCACAAATCTGAAAATCTGGGTTAGGGTTAGGGTAATGTTGTGAATCGAGTGGCCTGTGTTCGTCGTCCATAACATACGCCTGCCCATACCATAACCCCACCATGGGCCACTCGATTCACAACATTTACCCCAACCCTACCCCTCACACCAGATACTGACTGGTTTTCGGACCCCCCCAATAAAGCAAATGCACGTTTCAGAGTGGCCTTTTATTGTGGCCAGCCTAAGGCACACCTGTGCAATAATCATGCTGTCTAATCAGCATCTTGATATGCCACACCTGTAAGGTGGGATGGATTATCTCGGCAAGGAGAAGTGCTCACTTTCACACTGGACTCATTGGGGTACTACCCCTTGATCATATCATGCAAGCATTCATCCACTGAGAACTTCTATAAACGTAGCCGGCCCCGGGGCAGCCCCTACCTGAATGCGCTCGCATCTCACCGTATAAAAGGAGGCCTCGCCTCCTGACTGTCATCCTTTTCTCTTCAGCAAGCAGGATTGAACAACCTGAGCAGTAAGACGAGAAAAGAAAGAAAGAAGAAAAGCACTGGACTCACCACTCGAACACCGGACCTGTCCGACATGCCCCTGGCCTAATCGCGGGGGCTGATCCGCCACCGCCTGTGCTTCCAGTGCCTGGGGCCGGACCACGCCGAGGACGGCCTAAGCCTGTCGCCGGCCTGGCAACCACTGCCGGATGATCCCTCGTTTGGCCGCCGACATCGTGGGGATCATTTTTCCGGTGAAGTTTGGCCCGCCGGAGGAGGCGGAGGTACAGGACCTCGAGGTGGTGGAGATGGGTGAACAGGATGACGAGGGTGCCATTCGTGTTCGCCATCCCGAGGGACCGGGTGGGCCACGTTCACGGAGGAGGAAGACAAGGACGCCTCGTTGTCTGGTACTTTCGGGTCCGGCGGCCAGGAGGGTCCAGCACAGGTCTGCGTGTCTGGACTTTCCGGCAGTGATGACCCTGGCGGCGGAGCGTGTGGGCCCTACCGCTCCCCCCACCACTGCCACCCGAGGCCAGTAAGCCGCCTTCGACAGGGGTTTTTACGCCCGGTGCATCGGGCACAGCCAGCCTTCGTCTCACCCCCGTTGCCAGATATCAGGCAGTGTGTGGAGGCGACGTGGCGGCAAGCCATTGACGAGGAACGCCCCAATAGCAAGCCATAAATTAAAAAATTAATTTATATAGCGCTTCTCATCTGCCAAGACAAATCTCGAAGCGCTTCACAACAAAGGACACTGATACAATTTGAGAGATTAAAAAATAAAATAATAAATAAAATAAAAGTTGGAGATAGCGATAGATAGAAATGGCAGTACTCCAGGTGTATGTTAGCAGATTTAGACTTAAACCTTTTGTCTCCTGCAGCAGAAAGGTGAATAATCTCAGCAGTTCAAGTTTAGCCATTCATCACGGCGTTATTTATTATAGGCACACATCTCAAGAAGCTTGAGGACAGAGAGAGAAGGGGCGTGACTTCCAACGGTCTTATACCCCAGGTAGTGACATCACAATCATGTGGTACAGCCCTAACCAATGAACACAGTTAGTAGTCGCAGCTACTTACATAAACAATATATGGTACACAGTAATACATGGAGTCATACACTATACATGTTATATCTCAACACTCCCACTTATGAATTATGTGCTTACTAGTGCTGTAGCGACTCGACGTCGACGCGCCGACTTCAAAATATCGTCGACGACATATTTCCGCGTCGACGCGTCGCTACCACACACGTGGGTCACCCAAAGCAACAAGCAGTTCGCAATCGCACTTCAAACACAATGGAGACTGAAACGGCTACCTCCTCCTCCTCACAGGATTGCGCACGAAGCCCCCAAACGAAAACATCTCGCCCTAGGTCTTCAAAAGCATGGGAATATTTTAAAGTTAGTCCAAAACGCAAAGATATTTATATATTTATATCTCACTGAGACTGCTGCATAGCCTAGGCAGAAGCAGCAGCTAGCTGTGGTGGCTACCATTAGCAGCTAGCATTTGCTCTCCGATTTTTACATAAAATGGAATTATGGATTATAAATTCAATCATTTTTTTATACATAGACGTTAAAAACCTATGGATTAACCGATTCAGCGCGTTTTTCTCATTTTAATGCCATTGAACACGTCTTTTGATCAGATTGACAACTACGGTGGTGAGACGATCTCCCTAGAAGCTCTGTGAAGGTACGTGTTGTGATGACTGTATTTGCTTCCCCTGTCGCGAGTCCGGATCACTCAGTGATGATACTATATACCTACATAATCTGTGGAGTCTCAACTTTAATTGGATATATTGTATGTGCAGCTACGATAAGTAATAAGGGTACTTTTATCTTGAGTTCTGTGCCAATGTCCGTTAGCATTTTTCGCTCAGGGGTCATTTAGATGCTTCTTATGAGACTTGTGTTTTGTTTTGGTAAACGTGGTTTGTATCGTCAATTAGCTGAGATTATTTCCGTTAATCTGGTATAACACATTAATAGGTTCTTAAATATTAAGATCCCCTGAGACACAGTATCGTGAAAAAATTTTTTTTTACATTACGTTTTTTTTATGAATTGAACAACAGAAAAATAATCGTTAGATTAGTCGACTAATCGATCAAATAATCGCCCGATTAATCGTTTTCAAAATAATCGCTTCCCCCCAGCACTAGTGCTTACTGTTTACCTGTTCATATCTAATCAATAGGGATGCTCCGATCGATCGGTCACCGATCGATATCGGCCGATATTCACTCTCTACCGATCGATCGGTGCCCTCTAAACATGCCGATCGCGAGAGCCGATCGCATGACGTAAAATGATGACGTGAAATACATAACACTTTTTTTCTCTGGACGCGGCAAAATAAACTGACAAAATGGCTTCACCAGTCTGGCAATATTTCAAGGTGTCCGAAACGGACATTAAAATAGCGGTATGCAACGAGTGTGCAGCAGAAATCCCCCGTGGTGGAACAAAACAACGACAATTTAATACCACAAATTTTATTCGACATTTGAGAGTTCATCACATTCAAAATATACGGCGAGTATGAAAGGCAAGCCCGCGCTAAGTCAGTAAAACCTCCGTCATCCACTCAGTTGACAGTGAGTGAAACATTTAAACGGCAGGAACCCTATAGCAGGGACAGCAAGAAGTCAAAAGAAATAACAGAAAAGGTAATGGAATTCATTGGACTTGATCAGCAGCCTCTTTCTGTAGTGGAGGATGCCGGGTTCCGACAACTTATTACCACCTTGGATCCACGCTATATCCTTCCAGGGCGTAAATATTTCACAGACGTATGTATGCCTGCCGCAATTATACCAAACAGTTTATACACACACATAGACAGCATTTTAAAGGACAATGTCACATCAGTTAGTTTTACCAGTGACATCTGGAGCTCGAGTGCATGTCCCATGTCCATGTTAAGTTTAACTGCGCACTTCATTGATCAGGACTTCAAACCACACAACGTTGTTCTTCAGTGTCAAGAATTCCCAGGGTCACACACAGCGGAGGCTCTGGCTGCTGCATTCCGTGAGATGTTCCGATCCTGGGGAATTCCCACATAAAAGGTCCACGTTATTCTAAGGGATAACGCAAAAAACATGGTAAAGGCCATGAAGGATGCAGATTTACCCAGCCTACCCTGTATGGCACACACACTCCAGCTCGTTGTGAACGAGGGAGTATTGTCACAGCGAAGCATTTCTGACATGACAGCTGCAGGGAGATGGATCGTCGGTCATTTTAAACATTCACTATTAGCATACTCACGACTCCAAACTATTCAGCACCAACTTGGCCAACCTACAAAAAGACTACAACAAGATGTAGCCACAAGGTGGAATAGTACTTTGTATATGCTGCAGAGTTTACTTGAACAGAAACGGGCACTATCTGCTTATGCAGCTGACTATGACCTGCCTTCAACGCTCGCCAGCCATCAGTGGAAATTGATTGAAAATATGTCTTCCCTCCTCACACCATTCAAAGAGCTAATGCAACAGATCAGCTCATCAACTGCATCTGTTATACCATCCATTAGAGCTCTTACGCGTCTCCTTGAGACAACAACAGCTGAGACGGACCATGGCGTGAAAACCTCAAAAGCCACCTTGTGGAAGCGATCCAGAGGCGATTCGGTGACATGGTCTCAGCGCCTGTATGCAATTGCCACACTTCTGGATCCGAGGTGAGAAAACAAATAGACCTAGGCCTACTTCGTAAATATGTATGTTATGCAGGCCAAATTACATAAAAATAAGTATGCTATTGGTAAAAGGAATGCTATAGGTTCAATTTTCTTAGAATTAATTTTTTTTTAAAAACACTTAAGAGTTGTGCAATGTAGGCTATATATGGCTATAAACCTGCAAATAACCTAACCTGCAGAAATACATAAAATAATAATAAATAATAATCTTTTTTTCTGTTTCCTTTTTTTGGTTAAAAAGGTACAAAGACCGATATTTCCCAGACGCACTCAAGCCACAGCTACGTGTTCTGCTTTTGGGTATCCTGGCCACCCGTTCAGACTCCAGCCCAGAACAGCATGAGAAACGTTCGGAGGCGAGCGGCTCCGAGCCCCCGGAGAAAATGACCCCGAGTTGGCACTTTGCAGGCTATGTATGAGGAATTACTGCATGGAGATGTGGAACATGGTGCTTGGCAGCAACGACAGCAGTCAATACGCATCGCAGATGAATCTCTACTTGTCAGAGCCACTTCTCCCACGAAGCGGACAGCCGCTTGCTTTTTGGCAAGACAATAAAAGCCGCTTCCCTGCCCTCGCAGAAGCTGCACGAGCCTACCTCAGCGCGCCGTGCACAAGTGTAGATAGCGAGCGACTTTTCAGCACAGCAGCGAATGTTGTAGATGAAAAGAGGAACAGGCTAACTTCCAAAAATGCGGAGATGCTTATATTCATCAACAAGAACTTGCCGTTGATGCGCATGAAGTAGGCCTAAAGAATAGCCACGTCAGGTTGTAAAAACATGTAGGCCTACATGTTGAGGAGGAATGTTTTATATTATTTGGCTATAGTCTTTCGTTGTTTCCATTTAAATATTGTCTACATTTGAAGTAGGCTTATTTTTTGAAAGGCCCTGTATTTTGTTCCATCTATTGAAATGTATTTGTTGTTCCTTCTATTGGCATTGATTTGTATTGCCTTTATATAGGCTATAATGGTTTCTTTTGATTTAAAAAAAGTGTTGCGCAGTGCACATTTAGTTTTTATTCCATAGGAAGGCTAACATATTTGCTATAGAGGCCTACTGCACTTTAGCCGAGCATATGGCTATTATTATTAGTTTCTTCAAAATCTACATGCCCTGAGAATGGAATGTTGGATATGTTCGTTGCCTTCCGATAAATAAACAGTTGTCAATTCATGCTTTCTCAGGTCTTAATTATATTTCTGCAATGCTGTGTTAAGAATAGTTACTTTTATTGCTCTAAATAGTAGTGCTGTGGGGAAACGATTATTTTGAAAACGATTAATCGGGCGATTATTTGATCGATTAATCGGGGCGATTATTTGATCGATTAGTCGACTAATCTAACGATTATTTTTCTGTTGTTCAATTCATAAAAAACGTAATGTAAAAAAAAAAATGTTCACGATACTGTGTCTCAGGGGATCTTAATATTTAAGAACCTATTAATGTGTTATACCAGATTAACGGAAATAATCTCAGCTAACTGACGATACAAACCATGTTTACCAAAACAAAACACAAGTCTCATAAGAAGCATCTAAATGACCCCTGAGCGAAAAATGCTAACGGACATTGGCACAGAACTCAAGATAAAAGTACCCTTATTACTTATCGTAGCTGCACATACAATATATCCGATTAAAGCTGAGACTCCACAGATTATGTAGGTATATAGTATCATCACTGAGTGATCCGGACTCGCGACAGGAGAAGCAAATACAGTCATCACAACACGTACCTTCACAGAGCTTCTAGGGAGATCGTCTCACCACCGTAGCTGTCAATCTGATCAAAAGACGTGTTCAATGGCATTAAAATGAGAAAAAACGCAGCTGAATCGGTTAATCCATAGGTTTTTAACGTCTATGTATAAAAAAAATGATTGAATTTATAATCCATAATTCCATTTTATGTAAAAATCGGAGAGCAAATGCTAGCTGCTAATGGTAGCCACCACAGCTAGCTGCTGCTTCTGCTAGGCTATGCAGCAGTCTCAGTGAGATATAAATATATAAATATCTTTGCGTTTTGGACTAACTTTAAAATATTCCCATGCTTTTGAAGACCTAGGGCGAGATGTTTTCGTTTGGGGGCTTCGTGCGCAATCCTGTGAGGAGGAGGTGGTAGCCGTTTCAGTTTCCATTGTGTTTGAAGTGCGATTGCGAACTGCTTGTTGCTTTGGGTGACCCACGTGTGTGTAGCGACGCGGAAATATGTCGTCGACGATATTTTGAGTCGACGCGTCGCTACAGCACTACTAAATAGTAAATATATAATGTATGCTACAGAGTTTCCGTCAGAAAGCTCTCCCGGATCTCCGCCCGGTGACACACACTTCAAGTTAGACCTAACACACGTAGTCTAGCTATTTTATCTACCTTTGGAACAACCTAAACTAATTATAAATATATTTATTCTTCACTGTCGGGTCACTACTGGATCAGTGAGCTGCACGAGATACGGGCTGTCAGAAGAGAGAGAAGAGGGGGAGAGAGGAAACGAGAGCGCAATTTTGCTCATTTCTCCCGTGTTATTATTATATATTTATATACAGTCTATGGATATATTATCCAAAGTTATTAGTTAATGTAAACTTGAATAATGTACTTCATTTGAATGTAATAATTATGTTGTCTGTTTGTGGAAGCGCCAGTGAATGAGCCCCATTAACTGAGTTTTAAACATCACTTTAAAATGGAAGATCCCGCCCGCTCACTCGATTGGTATCGGCCGATACTGATTCCGGCGATCGGCCCCAAAATTGGCGATCGGAGCATCTCTACTAATCAACAAAACAAAAACATGGTACAAATGATTTAAATGTGGGCTTCTTCCACACATTTTACACACCAAACATGATCCCTTCAAATTTCCTCAGCTTCAGTTTGGATACAGGCTTGGTCATCACATCTGCAACCATTTCGTCTGTAGGACAATAAAGCAGTGTCATCTTTCCCTGCCTTATGGTGGACCTAATGAAGTGGTACTTAATATCCACGTGTTTACACCTTTGTCTACACACAGGATTTTTAGCAAGGGCTATTGTCCCCTGATTGTCCTCGTTTACAACTGTTTTCTTATACACGTATGTGTCTATCCCTTCCAGTAGCTGCTCCAAGTAAATACACTCCTGTATTGTTAGAGCTAGAGCCATATACTCAGCTTCACATGTGGAAAGCGCTACTGTAGGCGGTTTCTTGGTTTTCCAAGAGACTAGTGAGCTGTCCTTACTCATGCTCACACAATACCCTGTCATACTGCGTCTATCTGTTTTATCTGCAGCCCAATCAGCCTCACTATAAGCCTGTAGGCCTAGTTTCTCGCTGCTCTTTCTGAAACAAAGCTGTTTGTCTGCAGTACCCCTGAGATAACGCAAAACGTGTTTTACTGTAACCCAATGTTCATCTGTCGGTTCAGCAAAATATTGTGATAACTTGCTTACCACGAAACATAGGTCTGGACGTGTACAGGTAGTCAAATAAATTAGGCTACCAACAGTAGGGCTGTGCGATTATGGCAAAAATCATAATCACGACTATTTGGGTCAATAATTGATATCACGATTATTTTGACGATTATTCATTGACCATTTATTGAACTTTAAAACAAATAATATTTTACCAATAAACAAGATCAACAAATATGTTGGAGCACACTTCCAAAAACATACTAAACATATATTATTAATATGATAAATAAAATAAATTAGACCAAAATAAATGAAATCAAACATGTTGCAGTGCACTGTCACAACCTACTGAAAACTCCTTAACATATAGCCAACATGTTGGTTCAACATATTCAACATATTCCACTCAGTTAAACGTTGAAGGCTGGCCAACCGTCATGGTCCAGAAGTAACAGGAAATAATGTTGAACTACAATTTAAGACCAAATAAAATGTTTTGGCCACCATGGCAAATGCTGGTAGGGCTGCTCATGTCATCTCTTAAAGATTTTTTGCAAGAAAACACCAGCCTGTTTACATGGTCTGGTTTTCAGAGATGAGCGCAGGCAGGTGACAATATTGCCACCTGTACTGAAGACCCTCAGCCACGCCCCGACACAGGGGGTGACGCCGGCCAATCACAAAGCTTTGATGCATTCAAGTGCATTATTCTGGCACAGGAAGATTATGTTACAGGACATTAACGATAAAACAGAATATTGTTGTTCTATTTTTAGACACATCTCGCGATCGACTGGTTGGGCACCCCTGGGCTAGACCATAGGTCCGTTGTGGTGGCAAAGTAGTCAGCTGAAGCCACATCTCTCTCAACTTCCCCACGGCATTTGTCACATAATACCGAATGAAATAATACCGAGACAG